GACATGGATACTAAATAATAATCAAAGTATTCATACATCAGGAAGACATAATACTCCAATATTTGTGCACCAAATGAAGGCACATCAAAAAATGTAACTATTATCAAATCTAAAATTAGACTTTGGCAGCAAAACAACAGTAGAAGGTTTCAACATCCCACTCTTACCAATGGATAAAGCAACCAGACCAAAAAACTCAACAGGCAACAGTAGTGGTAAATGAGAAATTAGATCACATAGGCTTAATAAATATTCACGGGACACTGTACCCTACCATAGCCAAGTACACATTCTCCTCAATGGAACAGTCTCCAGGATAGACTATATATTGGGTCACAAAACAGGAGTCAAAAAATTCAGAGGTTGAAGTTATATTGTTTCTTCTCTGATCATACTGTTTTCACTATAGAAATCAACCACAACGAGAAAGAAGAAAAACCATATTGTGCATATTGAGAAGTATATTACTGGGTGACTGCTGAAAGCAAAGAATAAATGAAAAAAAATTGAGATGAATAATAACATGAAGACACAACCTACATGACACAGCAAAAGCAGTACTAGAGGGAAATGTTGCAGGACCTATCATACATTTATTTTAAAATAAGTAAAACACACACACATGGATTGAAAGATATAGCATGGGTAAATGGTTATCTTACCCAAAGCAATATACAGATATAACACGTTAACAGGTAGAATCTAAAAAATGTCATTGTTTCAGAAACGCTCTCACTAGTTTTGGGTCCAGCCACTTGCTGCCATAAAAGCAAGTAAAAAGGTCTCTGGTGCAGGAAAAAATGCCAATCTGTTCTCACCAACTGGATAGAATTGGGGGAAAACTTGCAGGATTGTGAGAGCGGGAGAAGGTCCAGGTACCAGCTGATGGTGCAAGGTGGAGCTGCAGCTATGGGAAGTGGCAAGGTGTGGCAAACACCTGCCACTACTGAAGGCAGGGCTCCCTCCACCCAGAAGGAGGGTGGTGAAGAACCACAGCTCATTTGGCCAGAGGGGTGACTGCTGTGTACAGCAGCTCTGATGTAAAAGAGAACAAGACCTCGTATGCCCTCCCTTTTTATAAGCACTCCCAGAAATGTCTGCTCAGCTCTGCCCCTTCCCAGAAACCTCTTCACTCAGGAAGTCAGGTGTTGAGTTCAGACCAAGGCATCATGCAGGTACTGACTCCCTAGTTTTGGGGTTGCAGGCATTATAGAGCACATTTTGGCCCCTTATCTGTCCTGGGCCACTCCAACAAATATAAACACTATCAAAGCATTCTTCAAAGAAATAGAACAAATGTTACAGAAACTCATATGGAACCACAAAAGACACTGAAAAACTAAAGCAATCCTGACAAGAAAAATTGGAATCATCAGATTCTCAGACTTCAACCAACACTACAAAGATACATTAATCAAAATACTATGGTACTGGAACAAAAAAACAGACACACAGAGCAGTGGAGCTGATTGAGAGCTCAGAAGTAAACTCATAAATACACACAGTCTATCCATGACAGAGGAGCCAAAGCACGTTTGAAAAGGGAAAGTCTTTTCAAAAATGGTGTTGGGGAAACTGGACAGTCACAGCAAAAGATTGAATTTAGATCACCATCTCGTAACATACACAAAATGAACTAAGGGCATTCATGAAAGACCTCGCACCGTAAAATGCATAAAAGAAAATATAGAAAAGACCTCCACAACAATGGCCTCAGTGATGTCTTTGAGAATTCATTATCTAATGGCAAGAGAAACAAGATAGAACAGAAGGAAGTGGGACTTTATCAAACTAAAATGTCTGCACAGCAAAAGAAACTGTCATTAACACAAAAAGATACCCTGATGAAAGAAAATGTTTTCACATCATACATGTGACAAGAGACTGATGTCCAAGATCTAGAAAAACTCATATAACTTAACAAAAAGAACCTAGTTTTTAAAATGGGCAGAAGAGCTAGATAGCTACTTCTCTAAAGAAGATACACAGATGGCCAACGGTCATGTGAAAAGATGCTCATCATCATTTGTCAGGGAAATGCAAATCCAAACTAGAATGAGATACCATCTCACACCTCGTGCCTGATAATGGCACATCCTCAGCAGTAAGTGTTGAGGATGATGGGAGGAAAAGAAACTCTCTCACACTGTTTCTGAGAATGCAAACTGGTATAGTGATCCTGCAACAGAGTGGAGTTTCTTACAGTATTAAAAATAGATCTACTATTTGACGCAACGATTCCATTCCAAGGTATCTGTCTGAAAAAAGTACAAATACAGTGGGAAGGCATATCTGGACTCCCACATTCATTGCCACACTACTCATAAGAGCCAAATTATGGGAACAAGCAAATCCCTGAGGACAGATGTGCGGATTAGGAAGACATGGTAAGTATACTGAGCGAAAGAGATGAAGTCTTGCCATTTGGGACAGCCTGGATGGAACTGGATAGTGCTAAGTGCGAAAAAAAAAAAAAAAAAAGTCAGGAGAGAGAGAGAGCTATGTTTAATATAAAGGAACAAACCAAAACAAACTGTTAAACCCAGTCCCATAACGAACACTAGAAATCTGTCTGCAGAATTTAGGTTACCAGAGAGGGAGGGGAGGATGGAGGGCAAAGTATGGAGGGGTCTTCAATAGACTCACTCTAGAAAATATTAATTTAGTACAAAACAAAACAGTAAAGGCGGAACAGAGGGACAAAGGCCATACTGAAAACATAAAACGACTCCACTAACATTCAAAGTCACTGGATTAATCAATCAACCAAAAGGCAGAGATAACCAAAGTGGTTAATAAGACAAGGTTCTAAGTCCTAGGAAAGCTCGAGTTGCCATATTAATACCAGACAAGATCGATTATACAATGAATAAAATTCCTTTTTAAAACAAAAGGAACACTTTCTAATGAATAAAGCGTGAATCTATTATATATATATATATACACACACATCACAATTAGAATGGTTACTGGAAGTATGTCTCCTCTAATAAAGCTACAAAATACACAAGGCAAAACCTGACATGATCGGAGGGAGAAATAAACAATGACAAGACTTTGAGATGTCCATATCCCACTTTCAATAATGGTAACTACAACTAGGCAGAAGATCAAAGAAACAGATGTCAATAATAAACCAACTAGATGGGACAGACATCTATGACTACCAACAATAAGAGGCTGATGAGAACAGACACACCACGATCAATTCCATACAGAATATGGCCCGAGACAGACCATATGCCATGCCATCAAACAAGTCTTTTGATATAAACAGAAGGAAAAGCCATTGACTCTGGGGCTGGGGGATACTAAATATGGAATAGGGATTGGAAGCCTTTCTTAGCTTCATCTCTTCCTGAACAACCCCAAACATCTGTTAGATATAGTCAGATGTTGTTTTTCTGATGTTAGAATTTAATCTCATCTATCAAGAGATTGCTGAGCAGAAGAGCCGGCCATAAAAACCATGTGTTGGGGGCCAAGAATGCAGAATCTACATTTTGTATCACTTTGCTATTTTCTCCTAGGGTTATGTGAGCAATTTTATGTAGAAAGTCACATTGATAATAATATTTGGAAACTGGGGGATTCTCAAATGTCATGTATCTCAAAGGTCTCCTACACATCCCCGTTAACAATAATTTAACTCAAAATGTCTGCAAATTTGTTATAAAAGCACATGTTAGTTATTAGATCACTACAGTCTTTCATGGCCTAAAGCAGGTCACAGGTACCTAGTATTTCAATAAAAGTGGCAAGAAAAACAAGAATTGCTATCCAAAGAACAGCTTTCAAGCCATTAAATGAATCTCCACCTTATGTGAAATTCCTCCTCCTTTTAGTGGATCAAACACTTAATGCTAACTCCCTCACTACCTCTCCTTTGCCACCACGATCTCTTCCTTATACAAGAGTTTAGCGTTCATGACCTTCCTCCCTACCCCAAATTCCATTCCCATTCTATGTGTTTTAAATAACCATAGGATGAATCATCTGACATCTAAATCCTCACAGTTTCCCTTCTGTCTTCAACCCAGTGATCTTCCTCTTCACACCACTTTAGATAATTAGGTCATAGCACGTATCACAACTGGTCCAAGCCATCAGCTTCTATGCTCTTTACTCTTGCAATAAGTGAGAACCAGCCCTTTCCTTCTTTCAGCTCCCACCTTTTCACTCTCACAAATCCATTCAGTTACTAGTTTGCTTAGAACAGAGGTCATCGTCAAACTCTTCCTGTCAAGGGCCAGAGAGTAACCATCTAAGCCTGCAGATCATCTGATCTGTCAGAATTATTTAAGTCTGTTCTTGTAAGGGAAAAGCAGTCACAGGCAAAATGTAAGTGAATGAGATGACTATCATCCAAGAAAATCTTTATTACCCAAGATAGGCTGTGGGTCTCATTTTGTCCGTGGGTCATACTTAGTACTCCGTCCCTTTGGTTTTGACACAGACCTGGGCACAGGTTTTTAACAGATGCAAACCAATTATTTCACTTTTCTGAGTCTCCCTTCCTCCCTCTCTACGGTAGAGAGAATGCTCTTATAGTCCACATTTCTAAGGTATGTGAGAAGAAGATCATGACGTTCAAAGGCAGCAGACACACAAAGCATGGGGGATTTCACGGGGTTTCATTAAAGGAGTCCCTGTGAACCACATCTCCTTTGGGCTGAGTTCTGAATGAGTGGAGAGCTAGAAGAGAGTAAGCAAATGAGGGCCCGAGCCCCTTACCTTCAAATTCAGTTACCTGTAAGAAAGCGGACACTGGAGAGTGGTTTAGATCAGCAGGCGAGTAGCCTTTCTAATACTGCAGAAGTCTTTAATAGCAGGCTTCCTGGCCCACTCTGATCCTAATACAGAATCAAAGTTGCTCACTCACTACCTAGGCAGCACTAGATCAAGCCAGGCCTTCTTGTATAGGAGGAAGCAGGAAAGATTGGGAACCATATGTGAAAGATTTCACATAAGTGAAAGACAGTAATCAATATGTAAAAGACATGCCTGGGAGTGGATATGAGGCTACGGAGAAAATACTCACCCACAGGTGGGCACGGTCCAACTTTTACTTGCAGGTTTAATGCAGAGATGGTAGGAAGCAGCATCATAGACCAGTCAGGGATTTTCTAATTGCATTGTGACCCTGAGGGGACTATACAATTACTCTATATGGACACAAAAATATGTTAAAGGCCCTCCCTGGTGGCGCAACAGGGTAGGACACCGCACTGCAAGCTGGCCGCAGCCGCTTCAGTGCGAGTTCGATACCCCAGCCCTGGAGGTGACCCACATGGTGCAGCAGACCTCTCCTGTCTCTCCCGCTGCTCCCCTCAGCAGTGTACTTTGTCGATCAGCCTGTTCTGCTCCCCAATCTGTCTCTGGTGAAGCCTCTCACTGCCCCTGCACCTCTGGCTTGTACCCCAGTTCTGCTTGAATAAATAAATCTTTAAAAAGTACTTTAAGAATGGAATAGAATGAAATAGAATAAACTAGAATAATTAGAAAAATACACAGTGCAAAAACTTGCCCTAAGGGTAAATGTTTTAGGAGACTTGTGTTGGGGTGTGCATGGGTGTGCCCTGAACTGGGATGTGATAGTATTTTCTTAATGTGCATTCTGAGCCAAAAGAAAGTTTGCAAAATGTTGACATAATTCAGCTCCTTTTGTCACTTGCTTTTGGGATTCTGGGTTGAACAATCTTAAAAGAAATTCTGGCTGTTTAACAATGACCTTTTCTAAAGGATATAGCCGTGTCCTTTATAACAATGCTTTTCTACTTTAGCAGGTTAAATACCCGAGGAGGGAACAATCTGCCTAAAACCCACAAAGGAGAGCTTAAGAATGAAGCCTCTAGAAGCAGATAAGAGGAGGGAGAGAGGGCACCAGGCAAGGCATGTGTGTGAATGTGTATGTGTATCTGAGAGAGATTTGAGACCAGAATTCACTGGAAGACGCAGTGGGGGAAAGGCGGCTTCTCAAGGGAAACAGTTGCTAAGCCTTTCTGAGTCCTTCTTGAGGCACACAGTCACAGGTCTGATGTGACTCTAAACTAAAGAATTAACCCAGGACCTGGGAAGCAGGAATTCTACCAGTTCAATTTCCTACTTTGGGAAGGATCTTTGTTTCTGATTTCTATCAGAACATGAGATAGAACTTTCTAAAAACCCAGGAGTGAGCAACTGTAGAGAACAATAACCCTATTCTAGAATTAGGAGGAAGCCAAGTACACAGAGCCATGTCTTGTGAATAGCTTAAACATATGATTCGTGTTCCTGTTTTCTCCTATAGGACATTCACTATGTCTCCAAATGTCACAGCCCGTCAATTTTGCTGCTGATATTTACCTTAATTTTGGGGGTGACTTACTTGGCTTCAAAAGACCATACAAAGGTAGGAATTGTTTACTTTTACAGAAGTTGAGAAGGTCACAGTGACTTTGTATGTTCACCTTGATCAAGAATTAAAACATGTCATTTTGCAATAGAAGTGGGCAAAAGGTTTCTCTATTCAGCATTCATTTCCTTGCCAATGTAGATATTGATTATATATGTGCTATTATTGTTTTTATATTGTCAGGTTACTTTAGTATTTGACAATGCTAAGCCTCCACTGAAAAATCCTCTCCAAACTTGGCCTCTGAGACTCTAATCCAATTATATTTGTGTTGCAGTTAGTCATCTGCCTTCTTCATGGGGTTTTCTTGTTCTTTGTATAGTTCAATTTGTGTTTTATTTTCCCTTTCTGCAGTCTTTCTTCCATGTTGTCTTCCTCCCAGCCACTGAGTACAAAACCAATCTTTCAAAAATTGTGCTTTATCTTGTACTGATAAAAAACTTTCACCAATGTCTTTCACAGACGACAACATTAGTGAGATCAAACGTTTCAGCTTAGCCACTCAAGGCCCTTCAAAATCTGAGCTCAACTTCTTTTGAAAGCGCCTCTCTCACTTTTGTCTAGTATAAGCTCCCAGCTCCACCTAAGAAGCACCTCAAGCCTACAGTGTTCAGACAATGACATGAGCTGGGAAGTAATGGTTCTTACACCATCACTCAGAAGGTCTCTCTTCCTGTGTCTTCTTTACAAGTGTATGTTTTCTATGATTATTTCTTTGACCTTCTTCTTTCATGCATATTCTCTTTAATTCATATGCTCTGGTGTCACCCACTGTCAACATCACTGTTTCTTAAAGTGAGGTACAGTCTCTGTACTGGAAAACACATTCGTGCATGCGTGTGTGAAGTGAAGATTTCTGGGCCCTACTTCAGAGCTATGGAAAAGACATCTCTGGGCTTGAGCTGAAGATCATGAAGTATCAACAAGCTCTCTAGAGGATTCTTAGGCACGCTAAAGTTTGAGAATCTCTGCCTATGTGCTCCCAGAGCTGAAACTTCTTCTGTGTCCCACTTTACTATGTGCTATAGACCAGGTATCTCCACCTCAGCCATCGACTAGTGTTAACAACACACACACAATATATATCCTTACTACCCACTCTGGCATAACCAAAATTAACAAAATCAAATGCTCTTTCTTCTACCTTGATCATTGTTTCTGCACATCACTAGTCAACGAAAGCCAAAGCCAAGGAACCAGGCACTGACTCAGGAATTCTGTTTTCTAAATGTCTCTCAAAACCATCCTTTTAATTTATCTCTTTGGCATTATTTCATCTCAGGTATTAAAGTAGTGTAACTAACCTTTCCCCCACTGCTGTCTTCCAGTGAATTCTGGTCTCAAATCTCTCTCAGATACACATACACATTCACACACATGCCTTGCCTGGTGCCCTCTCTCCCTCCTCTTATCTGCTTCTAGAGGCTTCATTCTTAAGCTCTCCTTTGTGGGTTTTAGGCAGATTGTTCCCTCCTCGGGTATTTAACCTGCTAAAGTGGAAAAGCATTGTTATAAAGGACAAGGCTATGCTGTAACTATTCATTCAACAAATATTTAATGACTATAGATAGTTTGTTAGTTGCTGTCTAAGCACTAAGCCAGAAACATAGGACATCATCTCCATGTTCAAGAATCTGAGGTTATATTTCCAAAATGAAAATCTGGATTGGCGACGCTGTCCATCTCTGGTGGCTCCTCATACGATAGGGTGGAGCCTTGGCTCATAATGGCCAAGTTCATCTTATGAAAGGGCAGGGAAACACATTAAAGTCGACCCATGGCCATCTTGCACTGGCTGTTTTCTTTGCCTGCTCTTCTTCCAGGTTTTCACAGCTCAGTTTCTCTTGATTCAAATCTTTGCTCAAATGACATTTTCCATACTAAATAGTAGAGACAACCCTACCCCTACCTCCTTACTGTTTTTCTTTTGCAAGTTTTATTTCCTAAAATACTATTTACTGAGTCTGTTCATTGAGTATTGTGTATCTTGATCTGCCTTAAGGTCACTTCCATAAAAACAAGGGATTTTTTTTCTTTAACAGATATTACTTAACTCTTCCCCCCTTATATATAGTTCCCCCCCGTCTGTATTTATTTATTGACATATTCCAAATGCCCAAAATAGTGACTAGGTCAGAGAAGGTGCTAATAACTATCAACTAATTAAGGAAAAGCTTCAGTGATCTAGAAAGAGGTGCTGGTGATATGAATGAGGTACAGACAATGACAGAGAAGTATCAGTGGATATGAGGCGGAACTGACAAACAGGGCAATGGATTGTGGGGGTAAAGAGATAGAGTTACATTAACTGGAACAAAAATTTCAAGAAAGCCCAGTGAAACTCTGGAAAGACAGGTAAATGCAAAAAGGCAAGTATAGGATCCCAGGCAAGATTCCCAGGAAGAAAAAGAGTTCTTCATCAAAGCAACCAAAGATGGAAAAAACAAGTAAAAACAAACCCCTCCATAAGGGACTATAGTGATGGTGCACAGGTGAATTGGTGGTGGGAATTTTATGGGGATTACACCTGAGAGGACAAAGCAAACATTGTACAAAAATGAACAATGATGTATATTATATATAAATAACTAAATTATAAAAAACAGAAAGCTACTAAGTGAGATGGAGACAAATGTGGAAAACATTAAATAGACTCAACTTAGCTGAGGGGAGAACTTCAGAAGTAGAATATACAAATGCACAAGGAACCAAGTGGAAGAAGAGAGAAAAACAAAATTTAGGGAGAATACCGAAACACTAATAACCATCAAGTTCCATTAGATGAGAAAATATAAGGATAACAGGTATTCCAGGAGGTGAAGAGAGAAGGGGACAGGAACCCTAGTCAAATAAATGATTGATGAGAATGTCCCAAACCTGAAGAAGGACTTGACCTTGGAAGTCTAGGAAGCTGCAAGAACAACCAACTTCCAAAATGCAGAAAGACGCTTTCCGAGATGCATCATTTTTGCATTATCAAAAGTCAACAATAAATAAACATTAAAGGCTGCTTGGGGGAAAATATAAGATCCAAAAAGGATTTCTGTAAAGAAAATCAGGTGGCAAAGAGAAACACTGTGAAAATGTAACCATGAAATAATATTGCTATCTAGTTAATTTTTAGGTCATTATCTCCTGAGTGAAATCATCTATAGACATTTCATGGAAACTAATTCTTAGGAGTCTCAAACTGAAAATCTGCAGAATCCACTTTTGATAGAGTAAATTCAACTGAAATGTGTATAAACCATAAGATTTATATTGAAAGCAAACCATTCATAGCTGAGAGAGCCCTTTCTCCTCAATCAGTTTCATAAGTCCTCTCCCCCTGAATCAGTGGAATATTATCAGAAAATCCTTACACACTGAAACACGGCTGGCCCCAGCAGTTCCACCAGCCGAGACCGAGCTGAGAAGAAAGGGGATCGTGGAGGGACTAGACCGGCTGATCCCGCCCAGACCCTGAACACCACCACCAGCACCACACACAGCACAGCGCCATCCCTAACCCCTGAGAGTCAAGCTGCAGAGGTGACCACCTGGGTGTCCTGAGGGAGGCGAGGGGCCACCCAGGACGCAGAAAGGACTGGGCAGGGACTTCCTGAGGGCCCAAATGTCGGCCCCTGCCCTCAAGGCCGGCGCCTCGAGAAAGGTGATGGACTTCCACAACGGCCCCTACCTGGTCAGCTTCACCTTGTTCTGGGTGGGGTCTCCTGTCTGTCCTGCTTGTCCACCCCAGCGAAGGGGTGTGGGCGCTCTGAAGGATACGCAGGGTAGTCTTCATGGGCTAGTTTGAGAATGGCACCTCCCAGGTTTTCTCTAAATGTGGTCTGACCCTCAAGTCAAACTTCGATCTGTGTCAGTTCCTGCATCTGCGAGACTAAGACGTCCCCTACTGCGTGAGGCCTCCCCACTTGCCCTGTGAAGCCCTGGCCCACATGAACACCAGGAATAGAAACATTTTCTACCTTAGAAGGGAAGGACAGAGGCTTTTCCACAGGTAAACAAACTTTCAAGGGCCCTCCCTGGTGGCGCAGCGGGTTAAGCACAGCACTGAGAAGCTGAAGCCGATTCTGCATGGGTTCCATCCCCGCCTGCCCCGGAGGAGATGCCCATGGCGTGGCAGACCTCTCCTGACCCGCCCGCTGCTCCCTTCAGCAGTGTTCTTCATTGATCTGCCTGTTCTGCTCCTCACTGTCTCTGGTGAAACCTCTCACCCTCCGCATCTCTGGCCTATACCCCAGTTCTGTATGAATAAATAAATAAATCTTAAAAAAAAAAAAAAACACCAGACTTTCAAAATTATAGCTACAGAGTTGGCTTAGTTTGGGACCAAACTGCTTGGTGAGCTTTTCCTATTCAAGCTCCTTTATTATGTCGTTGAATGCTGACTAGATTACCTAGTCAAAGTAAGTTCGCTGCTCAAAGTAAGTTCATTGCTCAAAGTAAGTTCATTGCGTTCACAGACCATGTGTGCAACTGTGGTTTTCTTCCTCATGAACTATCGGCTAAAAGGATGATAACCAATGAAACCCTTTACAAATGTCTGTAGTTCTATATGGTTTGTAGTAATTCCTGATTCAGTCACTTTTTCCGCAGGCCAGCATTTCCTATACTGGATTTCATGAAATGCTGTATCACAGATTAGCAACAGATGCCATGTTAAAAATGTTAATGGGGAAGAATTGTACCCCAAGTATCTCCCCAAATTATACCTCAGCCCTTTCACTTTCGTACTGTTGACTCTGTCCTGTTAAAACTTTTATCACCTCTTTATTAGGTCATTGGGCGATCTCTAGAGTTGACTTCTTGTCTCTGCTCTTGTTCAGTCAGAACTCAATAACACACCCAGACTGATGTTTCCAAAATGCAAAAGACTTTGATTTTTCCTTGCTTAAAACCCTAATTTTGATCCTACTGCTTTTAGGATTAGACCCAAAACTATTGACTGTGTTCAAGGACTCACCTAGCTCTGTAGTCTCTTGGCTCATCTTTTATGCTGCTCTGCTCTCTGTCAGCCCTTTTGTTTCACAGATGGACCAGGCTTTCACTCAACTCCAGCCTTCCCCAAGCCTTGGTATGGATGTCATTGTTTCCAGGTCTGGGTAAATTGCCAGTTCCCGTATTCCTTCATCGCCTGTTGTACTTTACCACTCATTACACATTACAATATGAAATTTCAAATATATATTGATATCATAGCCTCTGCTAAAATCTAAGTTCTAGAACACTTTTCCAGAATATCTTAAAAATATCAAAGTAATGGGTGAGAAACATTTTTGAAGACTTAAGGGTGGTTGAATCCTTCTAAGCCAGTGGGTCATTCTCTAATATCTGAGAAGATATCAGAACAATTCATTTTCTAATTTTTTGAAGGTCCAATATTGGGGTTGAAATGTTGAAGATGTTTACCTCTGTCAAGGTTTTATCCTGTGACAGTAAGTCCACTGTTCTCTTGTCTCTTGTGTTTACAAATGTGCCCACTCAGAGGACATTCTAACGTTAAGAGGCTTTGTTCATTATTAATCATTTCAACATCCCATTGCCTAGGACAAGGCAATATCAATAATCTTGCATTTTATTCTTGACAATTATTTGCATATCCATTTAAACCAACTATTCTGAGGGACATATATTAATTTCAGCAGCCCACTCTCAAAACGTATAAGGTTATTTGTACTTAAACTTGAGATTCATTCCTTAAAGGTTAATGATCAGCTACTGGTACTTTGTTAAAATATTTCATATAAGCTACGAAGTTACATTTCTTTGTTGGCGTCTTAATTTCTCCTTCACCCAAACCATGTCCCTAAAGTTCTATAAGCTAGCAATTTCTGTGTTACATTTTTCAATTTTATCATAAACTTCATACATAAACTTCAATGATCGATACAAAGCCATCTCACTCTTAAAAGTGATTGCTTCTATCTCAGTGGTATTAAAGTGAATTTCAAAAAAGCAAATTACTTCTATTGTAATCATCTGGGGATATACATTTATCCATTGCCTCTTTTTTATGTATTTTACAAATGTTTATTGAAGACCTGTTGCAAACAAAGATTGCTAAGCCCTTTTGAGACCATAGACATAAATAAATCATGGCCTTAAACATAAAACTCATGATATGGGAATTGTAGGTCCCTTCCCTGCCATGGCAACCATCATCCATACCTTACTTCTATACTAAAGAAAGTTCTTAGACTCTTGAAGCATTTTTAACCACCCTGTCATTGAGAGGGGGGTGGAAGACAGGGATGAGAGGATTGGGGGGGGGGGTGAGGGTGAGCCATTTGAAAACCTGATATAATACAATATTTATTTCCCTAAATGTAACACCCAAATGCCAACATTGTAGGTTGATGACAAAGGAGATGTGATTTTTAAGAGGCAAGAATATAAAGGTGGCCTGATATTACCAAGGTGAAAGTTTGATATAAATCAGTGAATACAACTTAGGCTAAATTCATAGTGGAGTTCAGAATAAAGTATAATGCTCCTCCCTTTTTCAACACTAATCAGAACACACTGAGAATATTTTGTACAGTTCTGGGCACAACAATGATTTTTTTAAATTAACCAGAGAATATAATTGGTATACATAAAATAATCAATACAAATGAAGCACTTTTTTTCAGGGATAAGTAGCTTGAGGAGGAGATTTACAGTTCAGTGCGGTCAGGGTCACTGGTACAATATTCAGGTGACTACATCTTCCTGTTTCATGGCCATGCTGCTGTGACAGCTGAGTGACTATCTCTCTTACAGTAGAATGACCTTGGAGACAGGTAACCCAGGGAAATGCTGCAGATGCACAAGAGGAAAATCTACATACCTCTCTATCAGGAAAAACTATTTGGTGAGGATTTTCAATTTATTCCTTTAAGGTGATTGTGTTAAATGAACATTTATGGAAGAGAGAAATAGAGAAAGGGGATGGAAAAGCTGAAAAGAAGGGAGAAAACAAAAGAATTTATGGTAATAAAAACTTGACTTGGGAAATTTTTATTTGTAGAGTGGAAGAACATAAAGAAGAAATGTCAGGTTGGAATGACATCCCCTTCCCTAATAGTTACATCATGTAAAGAAGGCAGGTTACAACATTTTGCCAACAGAGATAGCTAAATGAAACATAATGTATAAATGACTGCTTGAAAAGAAAACTTATTTACCTTATGGGTGATTCAACACTGTGTTAGTGGATTTATTACTTACAGAACATGGTGAAAAGCATGTATTTTGTTTGAATAAAAACTAATACTTGACTTTTCAAGTTAATTTTATCATAATTAGATTCTTTGTTATTTTTTTTTCAAACATTGGCCAAGCATTTGGAGCTGGGCTTTTAATTAAAAAGTTAAATTTTACTTTGTCATCACATTTTACAAATGTTATTAACATTTTTCTTTTTCCAAATTGTGATACAAAGTTAAAAATTTTGTTAATATTTTAAGGTATTTGACAAAGTTCTCTACCTCCCATAAGCAGGAATGTAGTGGTTCAAAGTGATCTTTACTACATTATTAAAAATGTAAGTTTTAAAGTTGCTTCACTTTCCTTTTGTTAAAAGATTTATTAACTTATTTTTCATCAGCCTTAAAATACTTTGATCATCATGGGATCGGGATCTTTAAAAGACGTGCTTTTGGATGCTGAGAGGCATACTTTAATTCAGTGGAAAAGGCATGGTTATCTATTTATTGCTACAACTCTGTTCTCAGTAAAAGATGAAAACTCTATTCCACGGGAACTGACCAGGTGGTGGAGAAAATGACACAGCCATCGTCATTGCCCTCGATCAACACTTCAGACCTTTTCCCATCAACACTTTCATACTCAGGGTCATCAATGTCCAACAAGCCATTGAACTCTATTCTTGTGAATTCCAGAGATCAAGGTGATCCTTAAAATGGGAAACACCCGGGACATGCATCTAGATGCAGAGATGTTCAGAGACTTGCATGGCTACGTTAAGAATTTTATGATGAGAAATTCTTGTGGATCTCAACATGGGTATCATTGATGCCTGGGACATATTGCATATGATACTAATAATGCTCATACCCCTGATTATGTGATTGCAAATCAGATCAACATGTTCTTAAGCTGTATTTGTTAGAGAAAAAAACCCCAGAAAAATGTGTCAAAATGAGGGAGGGAAGAACACAAGGGACTACGGTGATGATACACAGGAGGACTGGTGGTAGAAATTCTATGGGAGCTACACCGGAGAAAAGAAAGCAAATGCTGTTAAAAAAAAGAAAGAAGTGCCCTCGCTGGTAGTGCAGCGGGTTAAAGCACAGCACTGAGAAGCTAAAGCCACTTCCGCATGAGTTCGATCCCCGCCTGCCCCGGAGGTGACCACATGGCGTGGCAGACCTCTCCTGACCCTCCCGCTGCTCCCTCAGCAGTGTACTTTGTCGATCTGCCTGTTCTGCTCCCCACTCTGTCTCTGGTGAAGCCTCTCACCGCCCCTGAGCCTCTGACCTGTACCCCAGTTCTGTATGCACAAATAAATAAATCTTTAAAAAAAAAGAAGAAAAAAGGATGCAAAATATAAATAAATAAATAAATAAATAATAAAATAAAATGGAAATGAAATTAAAAAAGCACTAGCCATTCTCAATAGATGACCTCCCCTCTACTCCAATTTTTAATGTTATTGAAGGTAGAAAGAAATAAAGCTTGTAAAGCAATTTTATCATAGTGAAATAAATGTAGCATAAAATTAACCATTTAAATTACTTTTAGGGGTACAATTTAGTGGCTTAAGTGCACTTACAATGTTACACACCCATTACATACTCTGTCCCCATAATATTTTCATTACCCAAACTGAAGATTCACACCCTTAAACCAGTAACTCTTTAGTATTCCTTATCCCCAACCCCTGGCAACCACTCTTCTGCTTTGTCCAGACAAAGATCATAGGTAGCTCAAACAAGTGGAATCATATTGTGTTTGTCTTTTGTATTGGCTTCATTCACTTAGTACAATGTCTTTAAGGCTTCTCTGTATTTTAACATGCCAAAATTCCCTTCCATTGCATGTATATATCACATACTGTTTATTTACTCACCTGCTGATGGGTAGTTGGGTTACCCCCACTTTTGGGACTATTGCGAATAATGTCTTTGATAGTATGTTTTCTTAATTTCTTTTTCTGACTGGTCATTGTTAATGTATCAATATTGGAGGTCTCACACTGTCTGATTTCAAAATAACACTGTGAAACAACTGTAATTACAATGGTATGGCACAGGTATAAAGACAAATACATCAGTGAAACAGGAAAGTAAAGAAATACCTGTTTTCATACATGGGTAAATTTCTTTCAACAAGTGTGCAGAAATTACTTAATGAGGAAAGGACAGAAATTTCAACAGATGGTGTTGGAGAAATTAGATAGCCACATGCAAAAAGAATGAACGTTACCTTACACCGTGTCCAAAAACTAACTCAAAATGGAACAAATGCCTGAACATAAGACCTGAAACTATTAAAGTAAAACATAAGGGGAAATCTTCTGTACAGTAGATCTGGCAATATTTTGACACCAAAAAGCACAGGCAATTAAAGAAAAACTAGACAGCCGGGACTACACCAAAGTTTAAAACTACTGCATGTCAAAGAAAATAAGAGTTGTTGTTTTGGACTTCCAGTGGAGAAAGATATTATAATGCAATCTTACTTCATTAATATGGAAGGAAATAAATGAAAAATAATCCATAGTGTAAAATGAAACACAGATGGAAGGAAATAATTGCAAGTCGTATCTGATGAAGGTTTACTATCTAGAATATGTAATCAGATTTCTGATAAAGGCTTAATATGCAGAATACACGAGGCATTCCTATGATCACAATTAACTTATTTTAAAAATGGACAAAGGCTGCCATTTTTCTAAAGCTGATATACAAGCAGCTAAAAGTCTATGAAAAGATGTTTAACATGAGCTAGGGAAATGCAAGTCAAAACCATAATGAGATACCATCTCACATTCATCAGGACAGTCAAGAAGACAGAAAGTAATCTGTGCTGATGCAGAGAACTTGAAACAGTTGTCCACTCTTGCAGGGAATGTAAGATGGTGCAGTTACTATGGAGAACAGTATTGAGAGTTCTCAAAAGGTGCGAAATGGAATTTCCTTTTTTCCCCTTTTCTACATATTTTACACCATTCTTCCCTTTTGTACAGTGTATACTTTCTCCTCTCAGGTGTAGTCCCTGTAGAATGTGATCCAACAATTCCACTTCTAGCTCTATATCTGAAATAAGAATCTTGAAGATAAATACACTCCTGCTTTATTGCAGCATTCTTCATAATAGTCAAGGTATGGCACAACCCAAATGTCCATTTCACAGGAATTTTAAAAAAGGTGATATCTGTGTTTGTACACACACACACACACACACACACAGAGACAGAGGTTTATATAAAACAGCCTTTGAAAACAAGGAATTTCCATGCCATGGATGAACCTTCAGAACATCCCTTATGTTATATGAAATAAGCCAGGCATGAAATCAAAAATATTTTATGATTCCACTTGTACTAAGTATCTAAAATAGTAAAAATTATAGAAACAGAGAGGTGACTATGATTTTATGGGCATAGAGAGCTAATGTTACAAAATAAAGACCTATAGATGTGTTACACGCAATGTAAATATAATTGATGCTACCAAACATTTAAAAGTTGTTAAGATGGTGAATTTAATAGTATGTGTTCTTTTACCCTAAGTTCCCCACCCAGATATATTCTTCCTCTTTTACACCAAATAAATGTCAGTGTGGAAATCTAGAGCATGTCATTTCTCTGCCCA